AGAGTATAACTTTTCGTTGGTCTTTTTGAAGGCCCCTGCACTGTCAATAGGAATCCTCACTAATGACGACCATCACCTGACCAAGACAGTGTGTGCAGGTTTCTCCTTTACATGTAAGTTTATTCTGCTCGTCTGGCCCTACTCCTTTCTTATTCTTCAGTCTTTGGAAGCAATTCATTAACCAGCCTACTCAAGGTATATTTTGAGGTAGAGACTATATTCACGTAAATCTGAATGTTTCTAAATGGGAGACATGTCTCTATATTCAACTTACTTATATTAGGAGACTCACAAATACAAGAAAACTTCAAAAAGGTAGTGGAAATATTCCATTGTCCAGGTCCCAGAATTAGTTTTTTCTCCAAGATGTTCTGGTTCTTTTATTAAAAAAACAAAGATCCGGGAGGCTAGGAATGACCCTTCACCTGGGGTGTCACTGCTTTGGGCCCTCTGAGCAAAAAGAGCCAGGAACTAGGAAGACATTCAAGAAGTTTGGGAGCTTTTAAACAATTTTTTTGAAGCCCCCATTAAATGTATGTAAGCAGTGTAAACATAAACATTGTACTTATTTCTATGCTTCTGTAACTATCCACAACTAGCATAGTGACCAGATTTAAAGCGGGACACCATTGACTGGGGGGAGGGGGGGGGATGGATTCTTGATTAAAAATTTGGTCTATATGGACCAAATAAACCGTTCCCTAGCTTGTGCATTCTTTCCAAAAGTCGGGACTTTTTTAAAACACCAAAAATTGGGACTGTCCTGCAAAAAGCAGGTCTGGTCACTATAAACTAGCATCAAGTCAATGCTGGCTCATAGCAACCCTGTGTGTTTCTAAGACTTTAACCGTTTAGGGGAGCAGAAAGCACAATCTTTCTCCAGTGGAGCTGCTTGCTGGGTTTGAACTGTCAACATGTGGATTGCAGCCCAATGAGTATCCATATTTACTAAGTAGGTGTTCAATGCTGGTGTCTCAGACTTTAATTCAGAACCCATATCCCATCCTAAATTTCCCATGGGCATCACTCCAAGAGTAACAAACTGGCTCTCACCACCTACTTAATCCATTTACTTATTTTTCAGTCACAGTACACATATGCAGCAATTTGAGAACTATTAACCTGTGGCTCCTCCACTGGCTTGTATTTTATAGCTACCCTTCAAATTTAAATGCCCCCCTGATCACTCATTTCAACCTACAGTGCTAATCGTGTATGCTTATTCTCATGCCCTCTATTAGACTTTAGCATAATATATTTTAAAAATAAAACTTTGACTAAGGCTCATCTTAATCATGTGCTATCTCTGACTCATTAATTTGACCCTGGTTGCTTACAATTTTTAACAGGTGATGATTTACACCCCATGAACATCTACAGGTGATGATTTACACTTGATTACCCATTAGGATTTTAAAGCTAAGTTTGCCTATGCATAAAAGTCAGGAAATTTACTGATATATAACTCCTCGAGTAGTGAATGAAGCCTGATCCATTTCTCAGATTATCCTGAAAAACTACTAGTGAGAAACTCTCTTAAGAATGCTACACAGAATGCATTTGAAACCCTAAATTTGCCAGTATTTTAAATTATTGAACCAAACTCTAAGATTAACATAATCGAATTTCAAACACATTGCCACAGGTGCTAATATGTCCTCTCCAATATGTACCTTGTACTGGGAAGGTTCGTCCATAAACCTCAATGATGGG